TGTTCTATTATAAAAAAACATTAGTTTATGAAATACCTTCTTTGTAGATAATTGTGGCAGAGACTGTAGAATGACACCAAATTGTTTTTCAGCTACACATCTGGTCAGGCAGGTGTGTTCTATTCCGCTGGCTGGCCAATCAGATATTCTTCCGGGAGCCCAGATTACTGTTACATAAGGTATAACGTCGGTAGCAACAGCTTGAAAGTTGCTGTCATGGACTTGGACCTTGGCTCATCTTCCTATTCAAATTTGCCATACTTCCAAGTGAGAGGTATGCATTCGCGCTATTCTTTCCATATTTCATGGCATTCATATTCGCCCGTAGGATCTTTCAGCTGGCATTATCAAAAAATTACCTAGCTCTCTTGTTCGAATTAACGCGTTTGAATTCAAAACTGAGCAGAAAATAATACATACAAATACGTTCAGTGCAGAAATTAATGCATTCATAAACTGAAAGAAATCAAGAAAATTGTATATATAATAAATGCTCATGTTTGTGAAAAAAAATAAAAGTTGTTTAAAAGATCGACTAAGCTTTGTCTCGCGAGCAATGTTGAGTAATCTCCTTTCTAAGCAAAAAAGACTTCGCAAAACTATTATCTAGCTAAGGATAAGAATTTGAACAGTTTGACCTCGTTCCTCTTTAAATATCATCAACATTCGCATTATACTTCAACAGACCATTTCCCTTATTTGGCTGTACTTCAGTGAGCGTCCAGTGCATTCTGTTACTTGTAGTTAAACCTGCGAACATTTCTTTATTTTCGCTACGGCGATTGAATGAAGTTCTGTAATTGTTCCTCCCTCTTTGCTCGAATTATCGTGTGACTCCACTGGGTGGCTAGATTGAAGAGCTTTTAGGATTACTGGAGAAGTTTTGATTGGCCAGGAAAGAACGATTATTTCGTGTTTCTTTGGGATCAAACCAGTTACTGACATGCAGTTTTTATGAAATTTCTTGCTTCAGAGCTATCGAGCAGTTCAAGGCTCCCAGACTAGAGGCCAGTAATAAATGAAAATTTGCAATTTATTTAAGAGGTTTGACTGGGGATAGCTTTTGCATGAATTCACTGATTGGTAGAATTCTGTTCGTGTAAGTGTTTGGTGTGGTTCTGTCACAATCGAGGAATCTATTGGGTATTTAAAACCATCGTACAAAGCGATGAGCCAATCTTGAAAAAAACAGCATCTCTTTTAAATAAGAAACCAGGGCCACTTAGAGCCATGCTCGGCCCTGGGACCGGCACAATGCTTGATCCTCGCATTTTTTATTTACTCTTTAATTATATTCGTCAAATTTTCGAAATACAGATACGATTTGTAATTACCATGTTTTTTGGCGTCATATTTTAAAGAGAGACTACTCTGCTTTTAGGCCCATAGGCTATTGCCCCCCCTCTCCCCCTCTTGTCCGCCCTCTCGTTGCCATTAAATTGAAATATTTTTCAGAAAAAACTTTCATTGGCAGTGAAGGCGTTTGATTTGTATCTTTTTAGCACGAAATATAATACCAGAAAAATGTGTAACACGAAAGAATAGCAACAGAAAAACAAAAAAGCGATAAGCAAATAGCATTAATTACTTTATCAAGCACATGTATGCCCGGACGCTAGTATGCACAGAAAATTGCATTAAAAATAAGAAAGCAACTAAGAAACACATTAGGCTGAATTTATGCGAAAAGAAGTGAGGAGCGCCAGGCTGAAACTGGAGCCTTAGCACAGCAAAATCTTGCTCCGAAAAATTTTAAAAGTTTGTTTGATTACCTCCTGACTAGGGGGGAGGCTAACCAACTCTCACAGAGGGACTGTAGCCCCCCTCCCCCTCTTAGCGCTACTTCTGCGTATTTTAACAAATGTGGCTACAACTGACATGTTTTCTGCTGCTTTCAAATTCGAATTTCTTTTAATTTAGGCTCAAACAGTCGTTATTTCGAAAAATACCCCATCGCATTTGAAAGCAAAAAAAGCTTAATCACACGCTACACGATTGCAGTGAGTATAAAACTGTGTGGAACTCAGTCTCCTCGATCGTATACCACTGATTACAACTATGTGTATTTGTTCTTTAATAAACCAATCGCCACGACAGTTGGTAGAGGTTTTGTGGTTGGCTACGTCGAATATGGTGAGTGTATCATTGAATTTCAAATGCTTACTGCTAGTAAACATAAACTATTCGAAGTCACAGAGTTTGAAGTCAGTTATTGCTACTTCTACGGATTATATCCCCTTCCCTTTTTCCTTCATTTGTCCAAACCTATTTACCAGGAGCCCTCGAATTGCTCCCCTTGGGGCTTATTAGGTTAGGCAATTTTTGATAACGACTCATTCGAGGTGGGTCTTATTCTAGGAGGGTTGCCTTAATCATCTACAGGTGGTGATACAAATTTCTCTTTAATAACCTTTTCTAAACTGTCAAATCAAAGATAAATAAAGCACAAAAGGACGTTTTAGTCAAACATTTTGACATTTTTATTGTTATTGGCAATCTCTTCATAAATTCGTCAATTCTTTTAGCTATCTTCATTCGCTGCTGAATGTCATGGACTGTAATGGCGTATTTCTTTGTTGTATCCTCGTTTAAGCCCTCTAGGGTTACATCAAAATGCAAAAGTAATCTTGGCGTTTTATTGTAAAGTTCTCAATAGATTTAATGTGACGCCCTTAGGTTGGTAAAAAACTCCAAATATAGCTATCATGCTGCCTTCATCTTATGTAAACCATTTAAGGGTATTTTGCTCTGTGAAACTACATAGAATCATCACAACAACGCGATAAATGCAAATAATCTGACAATGAATGTCATAGAATCATTTTAGCATTGAAGACGCTGGCAATCGCAGGTTGTATTGCTGCAAGCAATCTTTTGAGTCGTTTTCATTTTTAATCTTTCCAACTGCAAGGCAAATGAGCTATTTCGAGAATGTATAAAAGCTCTGTTCAAATGGACATAACGCAACAGGTGAAAATTCTGAATTTCCTCTCTTAAACCATTGATAACTTACATGTTGTGTGCACAATTTCATTCAGGATACTCAATTCGGTCAAGTTGGTCAAATTGGTCAAGTTGGTCAGGTTCCGCAAGTTGGTCGAATTGGTCGCGTTGGTCAAGTTCAAAAAGTTCAGGTTCAGGCACTGCTATTGGCGCATCAATTGGGAGTATCGTTTTTGTTGCAATCATAATAGGATTTATCTATGGATGTTGCAGAGCATCTTGCAGGGCCAATCGAGGAGCCGTCATTGTAGCACAGCAAGGACAGACCGCACAAGCCGCCCCCATTGTAATTGCCAATGTCTCTAACAATGTAGCAACATCCCAAGCAACTACTCTAGCACCTACAACTACTGCAGGTTACATGCCACCACCGCAGGGTGCACCTGCATATATGCCACCGCAGGGTGCCCCTGGCTATATGTACCCACCGAAGGGTGCCCCTGGATATATGCCACCACCACAGGGTGCCCCAGGATATATGCCACCACCACAGGATGCCCCAGGATATATGCCACCACCACAGGGTGCCCCAGAATATATGCCATCGCCAGATGGTTAAGGCTATATGGCGGCGCCACCGCCATACTCGACCAGTGGTCCTTATCCAACTGCACAATATCCTGATGGAATGCAAAAACAATAAAGATTTGCAAAGTATTTTAATTTCAACTGATTCGTGTCGTTATTCTAAGATTTCAAAATCTTGCAGCCGTATTGCTGACAAGCCATTTTTCTTTAATTTCTAAGTATAGTTCAGGTTTTCATCTTATAACTTTATGTAGTGCTAGATTCAATTTGCAATATATTTGTTGCATTATAGCTGCATTGTCAGAACTATATAGATTTAATGTGTGGTGAATGCCTAAGCAACCTGCAAGGTTATTCACCTTCTTAATTTTTTGCCGAATGTTGATGAAATAAGCACTTGATTGACAGAAGATGATTATAAGGGAAAAAGCCCGGTTATCAAACTTTTCGAATTTGAGTAATCTCAAGTTACCGGGTGATATTCGTACCGAGATTATTTGCCACCCACTCCCAGTGGCGGATCCAGCCAAAAATCTGACTACCGCCGAAATGAGATAGAGGGTTGACCACACCCTTTAGACCACACCCATTTCTTGGTCACACCCGGTTTTCTAAAATGATTATTGCTTTCTATAATTTCTTATGTAGACCATTTTCAAGAGACAAGCTGTGCTTTACTGAAATTTCATGTATCCTTACAACAAGCTTGAGAAGAAATAAATATTCTTATTCAATATTCTGAGGATGGATATTCTAAAAAAATTACGGCATTTAGACGAGGAACACCATAGAATTAGAAAAAAAAGATACATTTGGCAGAATTTTGAATTGTGGCCTAAAGCTCGCATTTAGTTGCACAATTACTTATGAAAATCAGACCTGTTGGAAACTACAGGTTTAAAGAACTAGATAAAATTTGAAATTATTGAGAGAAACTTTTGTTAAACAAAGAATCATACTTTTGGCGAATATTGTGGGCCTGACTTTTAATCCTGATGCCTTCTTAAATTTTAGAATATTTGAGTCTTAATATTCTTTTAAAATATATTCCTACGAATACTGACTCCAGTTTTGATCCATAACAACATATTATATTAATCTCAATGTTAATCCAACATAATGTTGCTGGAACCATGCACCTCAGCCAGTTCAAATGGTCATTAATTATATTAATAACAATATAGTGTTGTGACAACCGGCCCGTTGTCAGGGTGTGTATTGTTATCAACAGGTGTTAGCGCTTTGCCCGCTCGATTCAAATTGTTGTGCTGTTGCCGTATCGCATGGTCGCTATCGCCGCCATTTTACTTTCGTTCGCTGTTTGTGATGATTTGTCGGTCTGCATTGTTTTGCGTATCTTGACAATTATATTTTATTGTTAATATTACGATAACTTCTTGATTTATAAATGATTGATTAAGTATTTAGCTTCATGTTATTTTTATTGAATTATGTATTATTTTTAATGATCTTGTTACTTTAAAGCAATGTATCACGTTATTTTAAACTAATTAATTGATTTAACTTGTTTCATTTGGTTTCGTTGGTCTGATTCTTGGATCTATTTTTGTGATCTATCAAAACGCAAGGAAAAACCGAGAAGATATAAAAGTATTTTTTTGTTACTACAACTGTTTGAGGTTACTTTACATCAAGAATTTCAGAATTGATCAGAATTTCTTAACCACTTGTTTCCAATGGCGATAGGAAAAAATTTGAAAACTAAACGCTTCCAAATGATTATCCTTCGTGACTTGCAACATATCAAAAAATAGCTCTCCTAAAAAACGATTTGTTATATTATTGCCTACTCTTTCAGTTCCATTTATTGGGTTAACATTGAAATATTCGAATTTAGAAAATAATCACAAAGATTTTTTCTTTTTTTCTCAACAAAAATTTTATTCTACCAAAAGTTTTTAACTTTACACCAAATTTTTGACAAGTTATGAGCATATTACCGATATTTTTCCACCGAAATTTTTGTATTTAACGTAAAGATGTTAAAGTTTATTAAAGTTTTCATTTTGTAGCATATGTTTCAACAATATTGGATACGTTATTACTCATTCTGTGAGATCTATGGAAACTTAAAGCCAACGAGCTTGATTATTTCAATTCTATTGGCACTTCGCGAGAAAAATTGCTCTTAATTTCATCATGAGCTAACATCAATGCTGTTAACATCATTAATTTAATCACCATAAAAAAGTGTAATAACTGAAGACCACCTTTGTAGATTGAAAGCAAATATAAATTGTTTGCAGATTTGGGTAGAAGAAAAATTATATAATGACATCATTTCTTAATACAGCGACTGCCGAGCAGTTCAAATTAAGCAGCATGCCACATTTGAAAAAATGGGAGTTACCATCAATGCCCCAGAAGTATGCAATGAGAACAGGTAGGAAATTCAAAAACATTGACAGAATATACTCAATGTTCTCCCTAGTGGTAAATTAAAAGTTATGGTGCAGGAAACTAAGAAAATGCCAAAGGAGTAGGTTCTTTGCAGACAGATAACAGGCGGAAATTCGTCATCAATAATATTAATGTAGACTTTGAATACACAGTGTAATATTAATGCATTGATAATTGTACAAGTAATTTGCTAGCAAAAGATAGTTTGTTCTGCCACGCCCTAATTCAATAGATTAAGCCCATGAACAAAAATTCTTTTATGCAGATGAAGTTTTCCTTTAATCTAGCAAAACGCAAATTTTAAACTGATATTGTGAAATAAAGACTATCTTTTGAGAAGGAAACTCTTATAAAAAGCAGGCAGTATAGTTTACTATTACTACAAAATTTTTCATGCTGAAATACGTCCGTTTGGGTGTAGCTTAAGAGGTTTCTTTTTTTCAGATAATTTATGTTATATTGCAAAAGTCCAGGTTGGTGATAACTGATTTTGTCGATAAAAAATTGCCAAGGGTTTTAATATATGATTGTGGTAGTTGAAATTGTCTTAAAAGACAATTTTGGATTTTGGCTTTCTAAATCTGACAAAGCTAGATACGTTACTAAAATATCTTCAATAAACAACAGAAGAAAATCTGTACAGGCACATTGAAATATTCTGCAGAACAATTTTTCAATTTTCCAGCAGTTTACAATTCTCCTTGATAGGAATAAGGGAAATAAAATCTCGGAATCACATATAATCCATAGAATTGCTGATGGAGAAAACTATGAAGTAAAAAAGTACAATTTTATACTACCAGCTCGATATTAACAAATTGGTCTATTTTCAAACTCTAAAGTTTCAATCACTCAACAGCAAATTCAATTATGCTTGCATCGTCCTTGTCCAAGTCCAAGAAAATGTTACTTATACACGACCAAAATCGAAGTCCCTCATACAGCCAGTCTTTGTTGTTTACCATTTTAATTTCTCACGAACCTTGCACTGTATCTTGTTACAAATAAAATTTATGCAGTAAAACCGAGACAAGTTTTTCTCAGGGGCGTCACTTGATGGGGATACCCCAACCACGAAAGTAGGACCTTCTCACTGGGCAGAATTGATAGGTTTTGTATAAATTCCTGTAGGTTTTCAATCTCGTGTTACCAGATGAAAATTATGTCATCAATAAATCTTTTCCAAAGTATTGGACTACGCTTCATGGGGGCATTGCTCATAATAAGTTGTTCAATTGTCATGAATATGTTGGCATAATTTTAGGCAAGGGTCTCCCCATCGCGATGCATTAATAGAGGTTAATAAAATTTACCATTACCCCCTTTTATGACAACCAGTAAATAAGTTCAGGCTGGTTTTTCTTCAAAGTGAGTAATACATCCTTCTCTTCGTTTTCTGCATGAAACATTGTTTGTCTTACAGGACCTATTAGTCATTTTATCAAGTAGCTCAGAAGCCATACAACATTTTGGTCTAACCTTATTTCATACCATGTTCAGATATAACATATACAACACTTGACCATTTCTTAATTGGTCTTGAATTAAGGGGCTTATAGCGTTGTAAAAGGCTAAAATGACGCTCGCCAAATTAATGTTTAATTCAGAATTCTATATGAAGGAATAATTCATCACTGATTTTGTATACTTTAGATGCAGCTACCAGTGAAGAGTTTACCAAAAAACTATTTTGAACTAAGACCCTTAGAAAAAGGTCTCTCCCCACAATGTTTTTAATGGTGTAATGAGGCCAAGAAAACTTTTTGATACCTCTCTTTAAGGATAAACAGTTATGTTTCACAGTCGCTCTCTTCTTCTCAGAGCAATGTCAACCACACAAAATAAAATAACCAAACGAAAAATCAGTTGGGTTATTATGTGCTATTGGGTGGAGACTATATCGATAAAAAGTGTTGTTACTAAAAATTTGAGCACATGCTCTTTGATCTCAGGAATGGAGGGATTCCATGCCTCCTCGCTCTTCATTACAAAAATTTGTCCATAATTCTCGTCAGTACCGCCTTAAGTTTAGGCAACATATCGGTAGAAACCATTTGACTAGACAACACTAAGTCTATAGTGGTACACTTAAAGTCATGCAGTGTGGATAAGACCATCCCTGTGAGAATAAATCGGCACGGTCCAGTAGTCATATCATGGATAAACATCGAGAGTCCATTACCCACAGTGCCATTTTTGCTAGTATCGTCTGCTGCGAATGAGTGAAACATCAATCTGCTGGTAATGTCACGCAAATAATAAACGTCCCTCGCCACAAAATATGAAAAACAAGCCCCTGATAAAATGTACTAATCAGAATCTCCGCAGGTAAAAACATAGGTGTATTTACAAGCAAAAAAAAAAA